GCTCTTGGTAAATTTGTTAAAGACAGGGCCTAGTCTTTTACTTTAATAAAAAGTAGCTACAGAATGGTTACTTGAGTCCCTTGAACCCTAGCCAACTGTCTCTGGCAGAAAGGGCAAAGAAGATGACACGTGTTGACAACTAACAGAAAGGGATGTAAGCCAGGACTCCTGGGATGCACAGACAGTAGCAATGAGGACATGGACACAGGTCACAACCACATAGTATTCCGTCCAGCATGACTGGAGCAGACTGCCAGAGAGGAGCGTCTGGATGAGCCCTGGGTCACCCTCTAATCACAGAAGCCAAGCTCCTCAAAGACTTGCCAAACCCAGACCTAATCCAGAAGGGGCTAAAGGTTTTTGAATTTTTTTCCTTGAGGTTCATTAAGCACACTCATTTTTATTGCCATCTTAAATCATCCTTTGTTGGAAATACATAAGACATGACACCATAAGACGCCTAGAAGAGAACATAGGTAAAATATTCTGACATAAATTGTATCAATGTTCTTAGGTCAGTCTCCCAAAGCAATGGAAATAAAAACAAACAAATGGGACCTAAACTAACTACAAGCTTTTGCATAGCAAAGGAAACCATAAACAAAACCAAAAGACATTTCTCCACAGAAGAAACACAGATAGCCAATAGGCACATGAAAAGATGCTCAACATCACTGATTACAGAAAATGCAAGTCAAAACTACAATGAAGTACTACCTCACAGCAGCGAGAATGGCCGTCACTAAAAAGTCTACAAATAACAAGTGCTGGAGAGGGTGTGGAGAAAAGGGACCCTCCCACACTGTTGGTGGGAATGTAAGCTGGTGCAGCCACTGTGCAAAATATGGAGGTTCCTCAGAAAATGGAAAATAATATTACCATATAATCCAGCAATCCCACTCCTGGGCATATATCCAGACAAAACTGTAATTCAAGGATACATGCACCTCTATGTTCACAGCAGCACTATTCACAATAGCCAAGACATGGAAACAAGCTAAATGTCGATGGACAGAAGAATGGATAAAGATGACGTGGTACATGTATACAGTGGAATACTACTCAGCCATAAAAAAATGAAATAATGCCACTTGAAGCAACATGGATGCAACTGGAGATTATCATACTAAGTGAAGTCAGAAAGGGAAAGGCAAATACCATGAGATATCACTCATGTGAAATCCAAAATATGACAGAAATGAACCTATCTATGAAACAGAAACACGAACATAGAGAATAGACTGGTGGTTGCCAAGGTGGGGAAGGGGTGGGAGTTCAGGATTAGCAGATGCAAACTAGTATATATAAATGGATAAACAAGGTCCTACTGTATAGTACAGAGAACTATATTCAATATCCTGTGAAACCATAATAGAAAAGAATATGAAAAAAATGTATATACATGTATAACTGAGTCTGCTGTACAACAGTAATTAATACAACACTGTAAATCAACTATACTTCAATTAAAAAAACAACAACAAAAAACATCCAAAAAACAAATCCTTTGTTGGCTGCTGAAACTTATGGAAGTGAACACAGACTTTTCAAAGTTCAGACCTAAATACTGTATGTTAGCATAAAACTAAGGGAAAATATTTGCATTTAAATACTCTTCCAGGCTTCCCTGGTGGCCCAGTGGTTGAGTCTGCCTGCCGAGGCAGGGGACACGGGTTTGTGCCCCGGTCCGGGAGGGTCCCACATGCCGCGGAGCAGCTGGACCCGTGCGCTACGGCCGCTGAGCCTGCGCGTCTGGAGCCTGTGCTCTGCCACGGGAGAGGCCACAACAGTGAGAGGCCCGCGTACCGCAAAAAAAATAAATAAAATAAACACTCTTCCAAGTAAAAGAATGAATTAAAATGCCACCTCTGGAAAGGTCCTAAACCTTCTGGTCCAAAGATGGCTCCTCCTCTCTGGAACTGGTACTTAATACCTCACAGCACGTGTCATGTAAAGTGTCTGTGGCCATTGAGGCCTGTCTGCCTTGTCCCTGGCCTGCCCACCACCACCCACAAACCTGGAAGCAGGTCCTCTTATCTCTGTCAGAGCACTGAGGAGAACACTCATTACAGGAGGGATGTTTTCCATATCAACCTTTTATCAAGAGAAGGTACCAAACCCCAAAGTATGACAGATACATTTCTTACCTGAATTTTCAGCGGCTCAATGTGATTCAGGTAAATGTGTGCATCTCCCAAAGTGTGTACAAAGTCACCTGGCTAAACCCCATGGGAGAAAGCAGAACAGTAAATGCTTTAGTTTGAATTCCTTTAAAACACATCATGTAAAAACCCATGATACAGAGTATGCAGACATCCCAAAGCTTTTCACAAGGAATTTAACCAGCGTCAATTTTGAGAAAAGTTGATTCATCAAAGTTATAATAAATAACCTATACGATTCCGTTAGTTTATACAGAGCAAAAGGACGGGAAAGCTCCAAGGAGGTTACAGAGTAAGCCAGTTAGTTCCTCATTTACATCTATCACATTTAAAGACTAATCGGAGATGAAATTCTCTGCAATTAGTTCTTCCACGTTACAGGATCTAAGAGCTCAGTGCTTGGGATTTCCCTGATGGCACAGTGGTTAAGAATCTGCCTGCCAGTGCAGGGGACACAGGTTTGAACCCTGGTCTGGGAAGATCCCACATGCTGCAGAACAACTAAGCCCATGTGCCACAACTACTGAGCCTGCGCTCTAGAGCCCGCGAGCCACAACTGCTGAGCCCATGTGCCACAACTACTGAAGCCCGTGTGCCTAGAGCCCACGCTCCGCCAAAGAGGACCCACCGCAATGAGAAGCCCACGCACCGCAACAAAGAGTAGCCCCCGCTCGCCGCAACTAGAGAAAGCCCGCGTGCAGCAACGAAGACCCAATGCAGCCAAAAATAAATTAATTTAAAAAAAAATCATTAAAAATAAGAGCTCAGTGCTTTAGGCTGGCAATAGCCGTTCCTCCCCGAGAGGAGCTCACCTTCAGGCCCGTGATGTGTGCGATCATGTAGGTGAGCAGGGCGTAGCTGGCGATGTTGAAGGGCACACCCAGGCCCATGTCTCCTGACCTCTGGTACAGCTGGCAGGACAGCTCACCGTTCACCACGTAAAACTGGCAAAGGGCGTGGCACGGAGGTAGGGCCATGAGAGGGAGATCTGAGGAGCCGGCAGAGAAGAGTCAGGAGGGGCAGTGGTTTTAAAGAACATAGCTCTAGGCAAAGCGAAACAGAACCAACTCATACAGTGGAGATGGTGAGAAAGAGCCACTAGGCCAGCGACCCCCATGACCCTCACAGACCATTCCAACCCCAGGGATGGTATAAGGTCGACGACAGAGACCTGTCCATCATGAGACTTCTGTGGATGCACACTGACAACTGAAGCCATGCTCTTCCATCCGAGTTGAAATGAATTACTTGTGCTACCACCATGGCACCAAACCACAAGTATAGGATGAATGAATTCATTTGCAGGGGCCACAGGATATTGGCCACTCAGGCACACCCTCCCGTATTCAAAATCTCTATCATAAATGCAAATATTCCACTCTGGGTATTTAGTACACCTTGGTAGAGTTTAGTTTTACAACATAATTGTTTAAAATGTTCATAATACTGAGGGAGAGGTGATCTGAAATTCCATCTGCCCCAATTTAAAATGTTAAAATTTTCATGTGTATTTTTATAGGCAATTTAAAGCCCATAAAATACAAATTTCATCTGGGCCCAACCTCACCCTCTGAAGGTGAAAATGGGACCACGTGCGACATGGCCAGGGTCACAGGGGCAGCCGGGCAGCCTGGAGCAGTTCCCAGGACCACCTCCCGCCCGCTGCCTCTGCAGGAGGTACAGTTAAGACATGGCAGGGTGACTGGGATGCAATCAACCTTTTGGATTCCAAGCACACAGGATGATTCTTCTGTCATCAGGGTTGGTTTTGATTGTGTCAATCACTTTTTGCAGTTGATCTACTCCTTGATCTGAATAGTCTGCAGAATTGGCAAAAAGAGAGAACACCTCACACGTGAATCACAGCATCCCATGACAGGGTCTCAGAGGTCACTGACCACACTGTCCTCCCACGGCCTCCCCTGGCCCACAGTTACACGATAGCCAATGAACAACACAAATGTCTTATATTTCGTTGGGTTATATTGAGTCTTGGCTCCTAGGTCTGTCCTCTGGAACCATAACAATGTCTATTTCTTACCTACTTAAGAGTCCTTTAAATACTTGGCCGTGGTGCCCCTCCTCCCCCTTCTCCTATTGCTAACCTTCTTCAGCCTCAACAATCTGTTTCTTCCAGTGGTCCCCACAGGACATAGTCTCTATACCATCACCCAATCTTGGCATGCTCCACTGCCAGGCACAGGGCTGGATCTTCACTAATTTACCCTACAATACACGGTCCAACTAATGAGGATGAGAATTCCTTTTTGTCATCTAGACGCTATCCTTCCAACACTCCCACCTAAAATTACAATTTAACAGCCAAATACCTACTGACTGTAAATATCAGGAAGCCTCTAATTATTATACCACCTTATACTTTTGTCCCATTTCTGGTCTCTGGACTTTTAAGTCCCTGCCTCCTTCTGAAATGAACTGGAAGATGTGCAGAGCTTCACACGCCTCTGGTTAAACTTCCACTTATTGGAGTAAGACTATGCTCAAGTCCAGTAGTTCTAAATTTGGGGAAGAAAGTCCTATCACCATCATAGTTCCAGAAAAGTAACATCAAAGATTTAAAAAAAGATGAACTGTGAAGGAACAGTTCTGTATCTTGATTGTGGTGGTGGTTACATAAATCTACAGGTGCTAAAATTGCACACAAATTTATAAAGCTGGAGAAATCTGGTAAGTGCTGTGGGTTTTACAAATGTTAATTTATGTGAGAGGTTACACTTTTTTGGGCAATTTCCTGTGAACCTATAATTATTTCAGGGTAAAAATTAAAAACAAAACAAAACAAAAACTCTTGTACTGAAATCCAACAGCTAAGCGTTCATACAACTCTAAACTAAGGCCATAATTTCATCAGGTCCCTCAAGGAAGAATAAATAATTGAACACAAGACAGGATTTAAGGCACAATTAAGCCAGGGGTGTAGCCTCACATCCTGAGGATGTCCTAGGACGGAGGCTACATTCTAACAACAGAAAGACCATTCACCTGCAGAGAAATTGTTTGGCCCACAGAGCATTTTTTTTGGTGTGTGGCAAAATTTATATAACATTAAGTTGACCATTTTAACCATTTTAAAGTGTGCAGTCGGTGGCGTTAAGTACATTCCCAATGTTGTGCAACCATCACCACTATCCATTCTAAATATGCTTCATTTTCCTAAACTGAAATTCTGTACCCATTAAACAACTCCCCATCCACTTTTGGTCTCTGTGAATTTGCCTATTTCAGGTTGGCATGGCATTTTGAACTTACCAAAGTTGCCACCATTCCAAAGACTTAGGCTTTTATTGAAAAACCCAGCATCAGGCCCAAATCCCTCCAGCTGGCTAGAGCTGAGGTGTGACTGTCCCCTTTAGATGGCACAGGCTTTCCAGGTAACTGGTTTTTGCCCAGCCAGCAAACTGTTACTTCCTGTGTGTATGCACATGCGTGGCGTGCACACACGCACATGCGCGTGCGCACATACACACACACACCCGCCCCGAGGTAGGCATTTGCTTTTGCAACTCCTGACCTAGGGATGGGGGGACAGGAGGGGGTCAAAGGACCTGGACTGGATTCTGTGACACTCAGCAAGTGGAGCCACCAAGTGACAGAGGAGGGTGGGCGTCCAGGGGTGAGATGTTTCACCTTCCTCCATCCCACCAGGACGGGGAAGAGAGGGTGACCAGAGACCAGTCCCCAGCACCACTACAGTGTGCTGGGCAGCTCAGTCTTTAAAAGGGGAGATCAAGGCCGCCACAGGGCAATCCCTGGGACTCTTGTCCCCCAGATGAACTTCCAACGCTACACCCAACACGCTGACCAACCACCAACCGGGTCACTATCTGCTGATGAACAAGGTATGGAAGGTGCTAAGACCCAGCAAGTGCTAACCACCCTGCTATGATCTGATCTGATCCTCCACCTGAATCTGAAGCACCCCTCACAAGGTCCAAGTTATACATCCACTTCCCCATCACCGGCTTCCTATCCCCCAGGCTTCACTTGCAACAACGGAACAAACTCAGGCTGTGAGAGGCACTCAGGAAATCTGAGGCCCCACTCCATCTCCTCACCTGAATCCATATCTTTGTATTCGGCCCCAAAATGCCTCCACTGAAAGCCATAAACTGGGCCTAAATCCCCTTCTGCTCTGGTGGAGAATCCCAGGCTGTCCAAGAAGTCTCGGGACCCATTGGCAGCCCAGATTTTCACTCCCTTGGAAGACAGCTCCTTAGCGTTTGTGGATCCCTGGAAGAGATGGGAGAGAGCAGCATTCAGTGAATTCTGTGCCATCAGAGTCGATCCCCCAAAAGCCTCCCCGCAAGTGGGCCTGTGCTGACAGACAGGGGACAGCACCTGACACATCCCATCATTAAGCAGGCTGGTCCCAGTCCAAACTTTCTGGAGGCCCCCAGGATGGTCCAATCCTTCTTTGCAATCACGATCTCAAATCTTTTTTCCTATTCCCCTCAACTAAAATTCGAAACACCTCCAAGTCCTTTAATTACTTCCATCTCTTCTAACAGTTTTGTGTTTCTTAACTAAATGTGTTCTGTGTCTAAGTGTGATGTCCCAGGATGAATCTAATGCCTCATGTGCAATCTGTTTGGTGTATCTTAGACCTGGTATATCAGATATTTCCACTGATTGGCCTAATCAGTCTTAGCTTTTCTGGCAAGTACGTCAGTCATACATCTTACAAGTGCCATTATCAAGTCATGTTTACCCCCAACCTATACTTGCAAAGTTAAGGTGTGGGTTTTGGGGGGTTTTTTTTTTTTTTTTTTTGGTGCCAAGTACAAGCTTTATTTTCCTCTTATATATTTTACCTCATTAGATTTGGCCCATGTCATCCTAACCTGTATCCTGATGGTGCATCCAGGTCAAGGACAGACCCCACTGGCCTCTGGGTATGATACGCTGTAAAGTTCCAAGCAAGGCTATGAGGCCACACACGCCTGGGCCCCATGCCTCTCCTCCTCCCTTCTCTGACAAGCTTCCTGACCCCTCTAGCCTCACCATCTGCACCCAAAAAAGAGCACAGCAGTAGTAACCACCACCCATATTACTGTGAGTAGAAAATACAAGCAAAACGCTTGGCACTCAACCCAATATTAACTATTGCACAGACCACACAGCTCCATATTGCCCAAAGATCCCAGCTGAAGTGCAGGTAAACTCTGCTGTATTTTTTTTTTTTTTGCACCGCACAGCACGTGGAACTTCCTCGACCAGGGGTCAAACCCGTGCCCCCTGCAGTGGAAGCATGGAGTCTTAACCACTGGACAGCCAGGGAAATCCCTAACTCCTGTATTTTTGAGTCACCCATGGAGTGATGATCAGAGGTGAGTCTGATGTGTCCCTGACAAGGATTTATTAGAATCCTGCACTCAAGCTTTAAGATAAAACAAGCGAATACATTTTATTTCTGAGCATCTCAGTTCCTCCCTTTCTGTCACTGAGTTTGTACTCATTTTTTTCACTTCCAACAACTCATTTCTTGACCTTTCGCATGTGGCTTCAAAAGTCTCCCTTCCCATCTATTCAGACTTGGCTCTAGCTGCTTTACAAACGTCCTCTTCTGAGATTTGCACTGATGTATTTGGAAGTAGAAGCTCGCTGTCAGTTGAGATAGGCCAATGCAGAAGAAAATACCCCGAGAATACAGAACTAAGGGAGACTGGATTGAATCCAAATCTAAACCTTTTCTAAAAGGTGTTAAGAGGTCTTGGGCCTGCTTTGGCCCAAGACAATACAAGACATGTAAGTGCCCTGTAGAAGGGATCCCAACCTCTAGCCCAGCCCAGAACAGAGCCCATTTCCTCAGGTACCCTGTGACCAGCACTGGCCAGAATATCACTGGTCTGAACCAGGAGATGGAGCAAGGGGAAGCCCAGGTGTGGCTGCTGCCCATCATCACGGCACTCTAGCTTGTTACTCAAGAGACCCTTCCAGCTTATCCCAACACGAGAGCACAGTTGGGATCTATACTCAGTGATCACTCCACGTTGAGTGCCTACTGTGTGGCAGGCTGTGTCTCAGGGGATGCAACAGTGGACAAGAGAAATTCTCTGCCCTCATGGAGCTTCTAATACTTTTCTAAATTTAAAAAAAAATTTTATTTATTTTTAAATATATTTTCATTTAAAAAAATTTTTATTTATTTGATTGTCTGCCTTCATCCTTGAAGGGGGTAAAGGGGGAGGGCAGACCTTATACATAAGGTATTTCTCTGTAGAGAAAACAAAGGAGGGGTGGGAGGAGAGGGTGGGGAGGTAATCACAGTTTTAGATTCGAGGCAGGGAAAGCTCACTGAGCAGAGACTTGAGGGTGAGGGAGCGAGCGAGTCATGCTACATGGAGCAGAAGGTTCCAGGGAGCAGGACCAGCGGGTGCCTGGGCCCTAGGTGGGAATGTCCTGGTGTGCTCGAAGATTAGCAAGGAGGCCAGGATGGGAGGGGCAGGGTGAGTGGGACTCTGGCGGAGGCCAGAGCTGAGACAGGATGGTAAGGACTTTGGCTCCTACTGAGTGAAATGGGAGCCACTAAGGGCTTTAGGCCGAGGAGTGACATGGTGTGACTTTTAAAAGGATCTAGCTGATGCTGTACTGAGAACAGATTATTGATTTCCAATAGCAGCAATTTCTTTACCTTGATAAACCACAGCAACTCCTCCAAAACACCCTTCCAGAAAACACGTTTGGTTGTCAGCAGAGGAAATTCATCTGGAAAACAAAGTTTATCGTATACTTTCAAGATGGGAAAACAGAACATGCCATCCAACTTTCTCTGTAAAAGCAAACTGCTCCAGGACATAAGGCCCTGGAGTGACCACAGAGCAGCTGGAAAACTGCAACCTCTGCCACGTGGGCACCCCTATCAGAGTGGAGCTCCCAAGGTTGCAGCCCCAAGTCAGTGACACAATTCAGACCGAGACCACCCTCCTGTGCCCCTTGACCACCAGACACAGGAATTCCACACAGTGATTAGGGGCAGGGAACAGGCAGGGATGCCCGTGTGCACAGGGAAAGAGCTACCCACCCCCCA